TCCTTCCTCTTCATTCCTGTTTACTGGGACCACTAATAGTGTTCACTTTTTTGATGGCTACTTAAAAATGATTACCCCTCTCATTGGATTCATATGTGCAATGTTTGACAAGTAGTGAGCCTGCTTAAAAATAAGCAAGCACATTAGAAAAGAACCATGTCAGTGTGTAGTTTTACTTTTCCCACATCATTTTAACAGCAATCCATCGAGCTTGGCATGTTGTAAAATTGTGAGCCACCATTGTCGAGAAACATCACAGAAAACTTGGGCGATGTGACTTTCCTCCAAGACATTCCAGCTTGTCTCACTACCTGCCCCGCAGTTCCATGAATGTGACTTAGAACTCTTATGCCTTGGCACCCTACTCACTGGATCTGGCACCATCGGACTTTCATCTATTCCCTGCGCTCAAACAAGGTCTGTAAAGACAGCCGCTCCAGCAAGGAAGCCGTCATAGACGCTGCACGTGAGTGGTGTGAGGACCAAGAGAAATTACTTTTTTCTCAGTGGGTGGGCTCCACTAGAAGTGCATAACACTCAAAGGAGACTTTGCAGAGAAATAATAAAGGGCCATTTGCATGTGACAGTCCCATCAAAAATAGGCTCACTACTTCTCAAGCTTCCCTTGCAGACAGGTTGTGTACCAATCTTTAACAACTTTCTACAGTACTAGCCCACAGTTCTTCGTTATGCTTCATATTTTTTGTTGGGCGTATTTGCGCGCCTTGTGTTGCACTGCCAGTGCTCGTGATGTAAACTTGCTTTCGTGCTTGCCTGCTCGCAAGTGCAATGTGCCTGAAATAAATGGATGGATTTCTAAAGTTGTGTGCAGGGAGTTTTGTTGTCGGGTCTGCTGCATATATAGTCGACCATGCTGATCATCTGAGAATGTCTTGCCTCGTATATTTTCCCTACTGGTTTCAGAAAAATTAGGCATTCCATGATTTGACTGCACATGGCCCAGTGGAGGTCATGCAGCCAGAAGTGTCAGTATTCTGTAGTGAAAATTTGGGTTGATGGAACCTCGCAAGTGGTTAACATCACCAAGTTTGGAAAAGAGGACAAACTGAGATGAGAGTGCTTATTTTTGTAGCTGCTGGAAACAGAAACGTCAATGGCAATGTGCCCAACATGTAGTGCATCTTTTTGCGGCTGCATTTTGAAACCCTGTTGCTGAAGCAAAGTTCACGCTGGCTGACCTCGGTTTCCCTTTATGTCTAGACTACCTATTCACCAATGCCAGGTGCCAGTTTGGCCAGCTTTTTGTAGTCGCAAAGAAAGATGGAGGTCAGGCAGGCAAAGCCAGCCCTCGCACCGGGGGGCTATGTTGCACGTTTTGGACTCCCAGGAGACTAGGGAGAAGGAAGTGACGTCAACGATGCTCGCTGGATGTTGATTGGTGTAGTCGCTGATGACAGTATCTGCAGAAGTTGCCAAGACACGTTCATTCACACCTACGTCACTTCCTTCTCCCTAGTCTTCTGGGAGTCCAAAACGTGCAACATAGCCCCCCTGTGTCGAGCACAGGCTCCAAGTCACTCGGGCAAAACTATCCGAGGCTTGCGGACATGTGTGAATACAATCCTTTGAAGATATTCTGAGGTAAGCATAGCTAGGACAAATCTGACACCTGCTGTCTGCAGCATGCGTACGCATAACAGTGGGCATGTGGGCATATCACATTGCAGAGGCTAATTGGTAAGCACAGCGAGGACGACCCTTGACATCAACCAATTCGTTCACACACGTGCCCAGTCGTCGCTGCAGGTGAGGACGATGACAGTAGATGGCCAGTCGGCTTGTGGAATATTTTCTCACTGCCAGCTTCCTTCGCTAAATTTGTAACAATCGCTACGTCACTTCGCGTCACTCCACTGTGGGTGTACGAGTGCGTGCACGCTGCCCGCGGACATGCTTCAGCCCCTCGAGTGATCGCGCAAAAAAAAAAAAAAAAAGCACTGGTCGAAGCAGCTGCGTTCACGCTTTAGTACCGTTTCCAGTGGAGCACAAAAAAGCTGACATCGGGTATAGATCAATTTCGCCGCAGGGTTACAGGCTTGACAATGCACTTCTCCATTTCGACTAGCTGCGGGGAGCGCGATTGATTCTTGCAGAGGCGTGACAGTGTATATGCAAAGCACAATTCAGACGTGCACTCGCGGTCCAGATCACCGCTTGTGCTCCGTTGGCGTCTCATACGTACCTGGCGCGATTCCTGTCGAGGCCAGCAACGGGCGAATGATGTTACACCCGTGAATAATGCTGCCAAGCGGCGAGTTGGGCATCGCTGTAGGGCAGACTACACAACACCGCAGCGGCGCGTCGTTCGAATGAAATAAAACATTAGCTACACTGGACGTTTTAGCGAAAGCCAAACGAGCTGGGTTTATTTCCAGGCCGTAAATGACTTCGGAACGCTGGCAGCGGTCACGGGTCCTTAGGCCTAAACACACCCTTCCGCCCTGGAGTACGCGAACGTTACGGCAGAAAGCATAAAACGGCCGTAGCGTAGCTGCCCAGTCAGCATTGAGACCTGTGCGCGTATGTTATCCAGTTTCACACTAACGATACCTTCCAATATCTAGGACTGCACCAATGCACTTTTTCGACTGGGGCGTGGAGTACTCCAAAACAAAACGGCAGGGCGTCTGCTCGCGTCGGCGGTAGCGGGGGGGAGGGGGGCTGCACGCAGCTTAGAACAGCCCGTAGCGCGCGCGTACCACGTGACTGCGCCAGCCAATCGCGGTATTCTTCCCTCCTCCCTTTCCTCCTCTCCCTCCTTCTTTTCTCTCTCGCGGGGCTTTGCCGTGGGGGGTCTCACAATACGCCTCCGGGCAGAGCCGTATATTGGGAGAGTTTGGCCATTCATTGGTATCAATGGGGCGAAAATCTATTGGTCGAATAGTTGATTGACAGGCCGCTCGTGGCCAATCACAAGCCGCAAAACCTCCCCTAGCGGTGGTCGTGAGCCTCAAAAGTAAAGCAGGGTTCGGTAATTTCATTTTAGCGTCGCTAGAGTTAAAAAGGTTAACGCTCGGTGACTGAAAACTTGGTGCATGTGAGCTTTTCGTCATAGCCTTCTTTAATGGTAGAATAAACGAATGCGCACGCGGACACGTGCGTTGAAATAACGTAAACAAAAGTTTGTGTAGCCGCGGGAGTTCCGCCGTTCCGGTCTTGTTTGAAAAATGGGTCGTTGTTGTGCTCTGAAGTGCCGGAACAGAGCTTCCAGGGGAATTCGCTTGTTCAAGCTGCCGAAATCCCCGAGGAGACGGAAACTGTGGCTTTCAGGAATCAAGCGTGGCGCGGGGTGGAAACCTCCCGACAGAACGTACGTACGTACCTTTGCGAGGTGAGGTATTGTTCATTGTTAATATTGTGACGCGAGCACGGTGGACGCGAGTGCACTGTGACAAAACCGTGTATTTTGTGATCTATTCTCTACTGCCGTGGAAGCGTCCTGTGCGCTTTCGCTTCACCGCAGAAAGACGAGTGGTTCAGGCCTGTGGCGGTCGTGCGATGATGGATTTGTAAGCTCGCGTATTTTGAAAGCGTGAGCCTCTCGTCAGCGGAATAACTGTACTGTGACGCGAGCGGCTGAATACACAGTTTTGACGTCTACCAAAACGTTATTCGCTACAGGACCACTTCGAGCCCTCCCAGTTCCAGACGAGGTGCTCTGACGGCTGGAGGAGGCTAAAAGCCAAAGCTGTTCCGAGCTTGTTTCTGCATTCTGAAAGTCAAGTGAGTGCGTGTAACGAGGATAAGTGAGATTTTTGTTCTTTTAGTATTTACCTAGATTATGAGAGTGAATTGTTAAGATGTTTTTACTGATATGATTTGAAAGAGGCACAGGTGACCTATAATAATGTGGACTTAGTAGGCTGTTGACATCTCTGTTCCATGTCAGAGACCTTTTTTTTTTTTTTTTTAAATCGGAGTGGTCCTTGTGCAAGAGTGCATGAGACACCATCATTCAGTGTTGCAGCCTGACACAGCACAAAACCCCGCCTCATGGAAATGTAAGTCAAAACCCAATAACTCATATTCTGTTGCTTCTATTAAGTTAATGCATGGGGCATTCATCACTCTCAGCCGCCTTGTAATGTTATGACAGCCTCACCAGCTAAGTATCTGTCATGGTTCTTGCATGGCTTGGAGTGATCTCGTGAGGTGGGTAACACCCAATGGACTTTTTGCAGAATTAGTGGTTCGAGAGTGCATGGCTAAAAGACGAGAGTTCCCTGGCCGCAGGCACGTCCACTGCGTCCCGTTGGCTTATTGTGTCGCAGTGACTTAGATAGAGCTCCCCCAAGACCACTTTTGTCCCCCTTGAGGATTATCTTTCACCCCGAGGTAAATACAAAGAAGCCTTCGTCCCTCTCCGCTCGGCCAGCATGAAGAGAGAAAGGGTGACAAATCCATTTATTCTCGAACCCATATTTCTGCAAAACGAGGATTCTCGTACCGTGTTTGCAGCAACCAACGGCCAGGACCTCCGGAGCGACCCTGCAGGTCGGCCTGCTGACGCAGCCGCTCCCCACCACCAGCGGGGCGTGCTTCGTAAGCATCTTCCAGGGTCTTGCGTACCCCCGTGTCACAATACCACCACGCTCTTCGCCGCAGGTGACCAGTGACAACCAGCGCGGCCAGGCCAGCTCAGCTGCCCGCGGCACCTTGGTGTCGGCAGACTCCACCAGCTGGGTATGTGGTTCTTGCACGGCTTGGAGTGATCTTGTGAGGTGGGAATCACCCGATTCTCATACCGTGTTTGCAGCAACCAGCAACCAGGACCTCTGGAGCGGCCCTGCAGGGCGGCCTGCTAACGCAGCCGCTCCCCACCACCAGCGGGGCGTGCTTCGTAAGCATCTTCCAGGGTCCTGCGTACCCCCGTGTAGCAATACCACCGCCCCCTTCGCTGCAGGTGACCAGTGACAACCAGCGCGGCCAGGCCAGCGCAGTTGCCCTCGGCACCTTGGTGTCGGCGGCCTCCACCAGCTGGGTATGTGTCATGGTTCTTGCACTGCTTGGAGTGATCTCATGAGGTGGGCAACACCCAATTCTTGTACCGTGTTTGTGGCAACCAGCGGCCAAGACCTCTGAGCGAACCCTACAGCCTCTTTCTCCATCACCCGTTTCACCTAGGCTCACTGAAGATGTCTTTCTTCAGATGAGCCGGAAGATCAAGCAGCTGGAGAACGAGAATCATCGCTTGGTGAGGCAGGCTGCCTTACAAAAGACAAGGGAAGCGACATTCCGGTCTCACTTGCACAAGTTCTTCACTGCGGACCAACTGGCAGCTCTATCGAGATCCAGCAACAGGGGGTCCAAGTGGTCTAATGAGACGATGAAGAAGTCGCTGCAGATGCGATTTGCATGTGGCAGCTTGGGCTACGACTTGCTACTGGAGGGGAGCTTCCCATTGCCGTCGTCTAGAACTCTGGGGCGGCGGCTTGAAGGCAAGTTTGTTGTCAGGCTACTCAAACGCTTCAAAGCTCCCTGTTGATTATTATCAGATATAATATCCTTGTTAGTAACTGTAGTGTTTTTATATTTTACACAATTTATTTTTAAATGATAAGTTGGTGTCATGGTTCCTTTTTCACTTAGTTGCAGTGTGGTATGAAGGGGTAGATTATTGATATTGTGTTGGAATGATTCTCTCATCGCAGGCATACAGCACTAGTTTGACCTCAGTATCTTGCACGCGTCGAGATGTGAATTCAAGTTTAGAGGGGGAGTGTTTCCTTCACTCCCAATTTTTGTAACCTTGCTGATGCGACCATGGAGGTAATTATGCTGACGGTGTCTAGGAGAGCACCCTGTGGTGATGATGGTCGAATGAGGCTTATGGATTCCATACGAGCACTGCATGAACACTTGACTTGGGTTCGTGACAATAAGTGCCTCGGAAAACATTTGGGCAGCTCATGACTAATCTCTGCACACGAATGGCCAAAATTAAACATTGTTTACAGCTCAGCACATGCTGCACATGTTGCCATCCCCAGCCTATGGCTATACACAGTTCTCACGTGACGTCATTCTAGTCACCATTCCCAGGTACTAAGCGTCCCATTAATGTAGTGGAAGGTAGGTCTAATCTGCACCCCGTGATTGGCGCGGCCCTGCTAGAATAAAACGTCATCATCTCACCTACCAATCGTGTGTGTCCTTTGATGTCGAGATCGCTCCAGCGCTCTTATCAGTTGCCCTTGGGACTCGCGATGAGTTGGCCGCGTGCCGTTTGTTTGGTGATGTGCACAGTTTCTAAGTGCTGGCAAAGTCGCGATTGCAGCGAGTTAGCGCAGTTGAGTGCGCTTCTTAACGAGCACCGGTGTGCTGTGCAGAAGCGACACTTACAGAGAAAACACCGTGATCGTGCGTATTTCGCAGGCACTGCGATTGTGCATTGAGTGGAAGGCACACCTCCAGAGAAGAAGAGGTCACGCGCGTGTGCGACGAATTCAGGAAAACATTGTAATGTAGCGTAATGATTGTTCATGTTCCTGGTCAATATGAGTGCTTACCTCAAGGCCAAAAAAAAAAAAAACTGGCTTTTACTATGAATATGTGTTACTCTACAATTGAGGTCCCGTCAAACAGTGTGCATCATTGCTCATCATTTCTTTAGTCTAAGATTTAAAACGAATATTTGGGTATAGCAAGAGGACTGACAAATCTCTCATCTACTTACAATCTCTATGTAGGGCGATTTATTTGAAGCGAGAGTCATTCAGTAATTTAGATCAGAATTAACTGAGCCTTGGCAGTGGGTAGGCAGATACTTGAGAATAACCTAAATGAAACCAGCTAGATTTTCCTTTACAAAGTATAATCATTGCTCACATGCTGAGTTTGTGCACTAGAAAGCTATCTCTACAGGAAAAATGCTGTTGACAAGGAGAACTAAATGACAAGCTTCATTTGTTGCTTCGATTAACAACTGCAGAATTTACGCACATCCTTGAGAACGTGAACACAACATACTCAAAATTACTCTTGTCTAACCTCATTTCAGTGGATTACTGTGTGCCCCTTGATATTAGGTGTTTTAGGTATGATAGTCTTTATATCATATCTAAAATTACTTTTTATTCATACTCGTTCACACTCATCCATCACTCAAATACTATAATGTTTTGAAAAATGTGTACTAAGGTAAGAGTGCTAAGCTAAGTTAGCATGTAGCTTAGCTTGTTTGTAGCTAGCTAAGCTAGTTACACACGACTGGAAGCTAACTTAGGTTAGCTTCCATTAAGCTAAGTTACCTTCCGCCATCTTGACATCAACACTGTCAAGATGGCGGAAGCTGAGCGCGATGGCAGTATCTGAAAGGCACCGCAAGTATTCAATATGCGATTCAAAATTATTCGACCCAAGTCACTATTAGCTTCTTATTCGCTTGAAACATAAAATTCGTTATTCGCACGTGCCTGCTTAAGGGGAAACTAAAGCGGTTTTGTACCTTTAAAAAACACTTGCATCATCTTCATATGGCCTCCAGTATCACGAATATTAAAATTATTTGTCAATTTGAGGCCCGGAGTAGCCATCAAAGCATTTTGACCATAGCGCTGAAGCCCCGCCCTCCCGAGGTGTAAGAAGCTAGGAGGAAATTTCTGAGAGACAGCAGCGTCGCAACAAGGATCCTCGGAATCTCTGCAGCTATTGCAAGCTTATTTGATTGGTCGACAAATTGTGTGCGATTCACCTCATGCTCACGATTTTCGCTCGCCTGTTTGTTTTGACGTAAGTTTAGTACACCTATAAACTTTCATAAAAGATTTAGCGGATGTTGGTCAGGCGTGAAAGATTGTAGCGGGAACTAGGCGTCTGTAGCAGATGACGCACCATTTCACGAGAATAAAAAAAGCGCTGCATTGGGCAAGGCTGGTCACATGTGCCGGAACACTGCACGAGAGATGGTGCTTGAGCTTCGGTGGCCAGGTGAAAGTTCTTGACGTGACATCATGCCGAGTGAATTTTTTTAATATTTCTTTGCGTTGGGTGATACTTCTTGAGCAAATAGTGCATATTCAAATTTGCAGGATACAAATAAGGAAGAATTTACCTCTAACTCATTTTTTTTGGAGAACCTCTTTAGCTTCCCTTAAAGTGTTTTCAACAAAATCAGTCAGTGGTTCACAAATCGGAGTCGGTGACACTTTTAGCAACGCACAGCTACCAAAGTAACCATGGAGTGTACTTTACTTCAGTGCTGGCATTCATCACCTTTGCTCATGAAGTGGAACTGCCAACTTTAAGGGAGTGGCAAAAACTTGTAAAAAACCAGCAAAAACCATTCGTATGGACAACAGGAATGGAAGTTAGCAGCCTTTTTTTCGTTTAGTGCCCATGCTGTTCTTTTATTGACTGAGGGGGAAGTTTCAAATCATTGATTCCTTCAGTCGAGTTTACCAAACATTGCATACACTTGATGATCTAAAGCAGTTCTGTGTTTGTAGGTGAGCACTGCCCTACGGGTCCCCAGTCACTCCACGGCCACTGCCCTGCGCTTCCTGGTGGAGAATCATGGCTGGAGCACCAACTTCCTCACCACGGCTTGGTTCTTGGAACAGGTCAACAAATGGTTTGATCTTATGAGCAGCAGGCACCCAGTCCTTGCGATCAGCAGGCAAAATGAGGCCTGCTACAAGAACACCCTTGACTTTCTGGTCAAATTTAAGGATCTTTTTCTCCACCTCACTATTGGGGATGGGGCGTTCAAGCCAGTGCAGGCGGGGGTAATCCTCTCTACCAAGTCCATTCTGGACCTGCAGCAAAGTCTCATTGAGAGACATTCTTTTTCATTTGTGCTCACATCCAGATTCACGCAGGACTGCCATGAAAACTTGTTTTCGGTAATGCGACAGGGCAACCCTACCCCAACTTCTTGGAGTTTAAGATGACCTTGAAAATCATCACACACTCGCAGTACCTGAAGGCGTCCAAGGCAGGGTCCTACGAACTGGACGATGCGTCCTTTTACCTGGCTGACCTCGCAGACTTGGATGTACAACCTGCTGTGCCCACCGACATTTTTCTTGAGGAGGTAGAACTCACCATGTCACAACCTGAGGAGAATAGCTTTGACTATTACGCGGGTATGTGGTACGAAGGAGTTGTAAAAAATAATGCTACATGTGACACGTGTGCTGCAGCTGTTCAAGTCCCCATGGCACCTGCAAATAGCCTCCTCAGGCTAAAGAGTTATGTCCCTGACGCTCTGACCTGCCCCTCTGAAGCTGCACGCGCCCTCTTCACAATTTGTGAAAGTGTCTTTCGCAGCCTCATTGCGGATTTGATGCATGCACGGGGCATCCTGGACGGCCTATCGGCAAGGATGGCTGCAGAGAGCCAATGTGTTCAGCTGCCCGACTGCCATGAAATCAAAATGAAGCTCATCAGGCGATTCTGCCATGCACGGCTGCAACTGTTCCTGCGGGAAAAAAGTCGCGAGTTAGCGGCTGGGGCAGCTGAACGCAGGGACTTCGGCAGTCGATGGCAGGACCTCGGAGAACTAATTAGTGTTTTAGATTGCCTTAGTTGATGAAACTGTTGTCCCGTTCTAATTTTTTTTTACTTTGCTTTCTTCTTTGTGTTAAGGGCAGCTTTCATTTTTTGCGTTCCTTGTTTACCGAGGCACTTCTGAATTTTTTTTACTCTTGCAACGGTTGTTTGTGCGAGGCCCTTTTTCTTGTGATCTCCATGTAAGCTTACGTGAAGCCTCTGCATTTTTTTTTATGCTTGCTACACATGTTTGTGGGAAGTTTCTTGTGCTGTGCTTGTAAGCATCTGTAATTTTTTTATGCTTGCTACGGGTCTGTGAGAAGCCCATTTTCTTGTGCTCTGCCTGAGGCCTCTGAATTTTTTTTACGCTTGCTATGGGTCTTTGTGGAACGCTTTTTTTCTTAGGCTCTGCCTGTAAACCTGTGTGAGGCCTCTGAATTTGTTTTACGCTTACTAGAGATGTTTGTGGGAAGCTCTTTTTCTTATGCTCTACGTGCAAGCCTGCATGAAGCCTCTGGATTTTTTTCATGCTTGCTTCAGATGTTTGTGGGAATCCTTTCTTTTTCTTGTGCTCTGCGTGTAAGTTTGCGTGAAGCATCTAAATTTTTTTCACACTTTCTTCAGCTCTTTGTGGGAAGCTTGCTTTTTCTTATGCTCTGCATGTAAGCCTGAGTGAAGTCCCAGAATATTCTTTTTCTTTTACGCTTGCTTCAGATGTTTGTAGGAAGCTTTTCTTTTTATTGTGCTCTGTGCGTATGGCTGCATGAAGCCTCTGAATTTTTTTACGCTTGCTACGGTTCTTTGTGGGGAGCACTTTTTCTTCTGCTCTGCGTGTAGGCCTATGTGAAGCTTTCGCTGTCATGCAAACTTGCTGTTCTGTATCATGTTTTTTTTTTTTTTCTTGTCCTCCTTCTTGTGCTGTGCACTGCTTATGTTTCACTCATCCTTTTTTGCTTCATGTGGATGTTTGTAGCCTACACTTTCCTTCCTGGTGTCTTGCATGAAAGCCTATGCAGAGACTTCCTGCCCATGTTAGCTTGTCTTTTCCCCTGTCATTCTTCTGTTCACTTTCCTCGTGTCATTCGCACACCTCGAAATATGCACTCTCTCTGTATCCTCAAGTTTTTCACTTCTGCACTTGCTTAAGACATTCGCAAGCCATCCCTTTACTTCATGAGCTTTCCATGTGAGCCTTCACCGTGCAGCACCTTTACGCTTCTGGGAGCCTATGCTTTGCCTCCGACCCTTTTGGTTTATCCACTTGCCTATTTTAATTTTGCAGTTTCTGTGTTTTTTCTTGCAGAGGCACGAGACCCATGTCCCCTCCATGGTCATCGGTTGCAGCTTTTGGGTCTGTCTCATTTTATTTCATTGTAGTTGCAGACTTAATTATTGTCAGGTATCTGTGTGTTAGTTCGTTTGCAGTAGACCTAACTGCCGCCATTTCCTTTCCGTGAGTTAGTTTTCGTCAGACGCTCGTACTCTGTGTAACAGGTGCAAGGGCTGGGTTTTGTTGCTGTGTCCAGGATGTTGCAAGGAGACTGCTGACCAATGGACTTCTTCCAAAACCGACGCGCCCCATTGCGGCGAAATACCATGCAGTGCATTCTGGGAACTAGTTGGCCACTCAGTTTCGGTTTCGACTGAGCAGATTCATCTCATGCTATCACGCCGTGACCGAACGCACTGCTTGCGTTTTCGATTATCTGACTTTTTTACGAATGTACAATATACTCATTCTCGAGCGATACAAAACGAAGGCCGGGGTACTTTTTTTGGTTCCCGAAACACCGGATATTTGAGTGCGTAAGCAAACGTAGTAGGACGTGGCTTAGTCACATCATCTTTGAGTTCAATTTCAATAATCCCGTCTAGTACCATTGAACTACAAGTGAAATTCGGTCACCTGGAGCATTACACATATTTTGTTCAAAGTTGAGCCCAGCGTTGACGCGTAAACTTTTAAGGAAACACAATAAATTCGATCTCACTACTGCACCAAAGTTACTATGATGTCTTCCTCGTGTCATCATATATCTCCCACTCAAATTTTATGCTGATAGAAGATTAAGTTTTCGCAAACGTGGAGATGGGCTAGCTACGATGGAGGCCCTAACAAGCGTCCCCTACTCCTCGCTAAGCCTTTTTGGACGAGCTTTTACTGACGCCCAAGATCTGTGCCTGAACGGTGTGTCCGAAATTATCGCGGCATACTCAGGCAGGAAGAAAGCTAACACATGACAAATATTATGGCCGTTAGCAACCGTCAAATGCACTTTGAATAATTTCGTTCGTTTGGCGCACCGCATAGGGGTTCATACCCGTCCGGCGTACTTCTGGCGAATGGTGCAACATTTTTCACACAAGTGCTTGACTTTTGCTTTCTTAAAACGGTTTGTATGCGCGAATGTGCCTATACGATTGCAGGATAACTTTACGTGCATATGCGATGTTGAATATTAGTAAAATGCAAGTGGGTGGAGACTTCGCTTCGTGCAGTGCTGCGGGTCAGTACAGATAAGAGATAAGAAGTGTGTTATAATTGAGCTTTTCAATGGCACCTCCGAGTTTTACTTCGCGTACACAGGCGTATTAAGAAAACAGTAATTGCAAAAAGTAATATTTCTTCTATGGACGCACGAAACAAACAAACTTCCTGATCAACAACATATAATGTAAAGGCGCGAGCTCGACGTATGCATACTTATTGGTTGCTACAGCCTGTTGATTCGTACATAAGCAAGATCCCCGAGCTTCGCAGCGTCGAGATTCCCAGCACTGGCTTGTCCAGATACCTCGAAACGCTAACAAAAAGGCTCAAGTACAAAAATAGAACAAGCATGTGTTTAGAGAAGCTATATATGTCTCGGGCTTGTGCTAAAGCTTCGAGGTCTGGCCATTTAGGTTAGTTTATAGACCACAAATGACGCTCTCGGGACCAGAAAACATGAGATAATGGCCGTTTATAGTCCACGCTTTGTGTGTAATCTCTGGTCGACGTGTCGATCGAAACCGAAACCATGCCACTCTCCTCCCTGGCCAACTAGTTCCCAGAGTTCAACGCGCGCCGTGTTGCATGCAGGGCTTTATGGAAGTAGTCTATTGTGTGCATGCATCAAGAATAGTTGTGTGTCAGAAGTTCCTTTATTTCCTTGTTTTTTGACTCCATACAGACCAATGTTGAAATTGTTGGTGGCTGCTTCATCCATGGAGTGCAAGGATCATACCTATTTGTTTATTAGGGAATAATTGACATGGCCGTGTCATACATGTTTGTTACATGGTCACTGGAAAGTGTGGGAAAAGAGAGAAAGCCCATGGCCGTTGCACAGGGAAGCCCCCAGAAACACTGACCCTGGTGGTGGCCTGATCCAACACTTTGCCGCACAAGCAAAAGGTTCATCTTGGTTGGTGTCGCCCGTGCCTGAGTGGGGCATCCTTGCACTGCTTAAAATGCCTGCTCAGTTCCTGGTCCATAGCCTGGTTTTTTCACTTGTTAGCTGCCAATCAAGTTAGTGCCCAGTGGTAATTTCATCATCTGACTAAAAATGAGTTGAGTTAAAGCGTCTGGGGCACAACTGGCCCAGGTGGTGCTTCATTGTGCCATGGTGGATTTTACCAAAGTCATGCAGTTTTCGACTACCTGGAAGATGATCTTGGTCCCCATTGTTCTACAGCTCCCATGTTTCTTTCGAAAACAGGGCTGCTTTCTTTGAGGTTGCTAGGTCTTTCCAGGTCTACCTTTGGCTCCTGGGTCTCAGTGATGAGGTCTATGCAGCAAACTCTAGGACAAAAGTTGAACACGAGCTCTGTTGGAGATTGTCCTCCTGTGGTAGGCGGTGTGCGACGGTACACAAGGAGCCATCTTGGCAAGTATGCGGCCAAAGAACCACTTGAGAGTTTCTTTAGACTGTCCTTGATCGTTCTGACAGCTCTCTCGGGAAGTCTGTTTGACTGTGGATAGTTAGGTGCAGTCCTTAGGTGGCCAATTCCATTCTGAGTAATGAAGTCGGTAAACAGCGTGCCAGGAAATGGTGTTCCATTATTGGACACCAAGCAAACAGGAAGTCCTGACCCGGCGACCGTGTTCCTCAGATATTCGACTGTTGCAGTGGAGTTGGCTGGCTGCTGATGCCAGTGGTTTCTTTCAATCTTGGTAACTGTTTACCACAATTAGCACCGTTTTACCTTCGATAGGTGCAGTGCAGTCCATGTAAATTCTTGTCCATGGAGCCGTGGGTTCTGGCCAAGCTTGTGGCTCTGCTCCTGGTGGCATTAATGCAG